GTTCTTTATCCACTGTTTTGTCCATCCTTAAAATCCGTACCTTAACAGTTTGGAGACCAGGATGTCGTGGGGCACAGTGTCAAAGGCTTTGCTCAGGTCCAGGTAAATGACATCAGTTGCCCGCCCCTCATCTATTAATGTTGTGACCTTTTCATAGAAGGCCACCAGGTTCGTCAGGCATGATTTTGTTTGTTTGTTTGGGTTTATTTTAAAGTAAACAGTACAGGGGAAAAAAAAGCCCTTGTTTCTATCTAAAACAGAGGCAACAAACTTCCAGCCAGAGTGGAACTAGAAAGACATTTTTAAAATTTCTTTAGGTGTGAATGAGACAATCTGAAAAAAAAAACAACCTTGATACCTGTGGAATAGAGGTCATACCAGTAGGAGAGGAAGCGAAGTGATAGAATTATCTCTTGGTGAGGGGAAAATAATAGAGAAACAGGTTATTTTATAACCTCTAAAACATGGAAAACAGAGGCAGAAGGAAAATGGTAAAATGTCACAAACATGTCTAAAATTACCTGGTATCCACTAGCACCGTCTGTGCCCTTCAGCCTGTTTGCTGTTCTGCTGCCACCATGACACGTGTTGGCTGTGGCCCTTCCTGATGGCCTTATTTCTGCTGTCTACTCCCACTGCTTGCACAGCACAGACTGCTTTCAGTCAGGTTGCCAGGAGAGACACATGGCAGTATTTTTTTTTTTAATAAGAGGAATTCCTTAACTGTGTAGAAACATTGTATCTAGAGCTTTCCTCTCTTGCAGATTTTTCAGCTGAAACTCTTGTTGATGGACATCTGAAATGAGTGCTTTTTAGAGGTGTGCTGAATCGCAGTCTTTCTGCATAGCATAGCTTTAACGGCAGTGGTGGACTGAGTATCAACGTAGCCCAGACTCTGGAAGCCATGAAATACTTCTGAGCTAGCAAAAAAAAGTAGAGAAAACAAAAACCAACACAGGGTATCTCTTAAGTATGCTACTAGCAAAACACCAACTTAGAATCTAGTGGAATATATAACCAGTGGGCAACCTTTAGATTTCTGTGATTTAAAAACCATGAAAATTCATAACCCAGTATCCCACACTGTAGAAAACACAACACAGGTGAGTAGTTCCATTGCTATTTAAGACTATGTTTTTCAAGCTGCTTGATCTAAAAAGAAACTTCCTTTGCTGAAACAACCTCCTTCACATGTAAAAATAAGTTACCCAAACCATTTATTAAAGAAAATGTTTGATAAATAGCTAGTGTTCTTCTTTCATAACAACTAATTACTTTAGTAACATTAAGGTTATACAAGGTCTTTTTATTGTGAGACAGTTTTCATGAGAATAATTTGTTCAGACAAACATATCTACCATGCTTTTTTTATTTTTTTATGAAGTACTGTAAAGGGCCAATACCACTCAAGAAACCCACACTTAAATATACATGAAAAATCTTAAATATAATATTTAGGTACAGTTCAAAGGATTTTTTTTCCCTGCCAAATATCTGATGCAGAGGAATGATACAGTTTTTAATAAATAAAACAGTAAATTATGATATGATGAAGGTATCTAAGAAAGTTTTTCATTTCTGTGTGTGTGTGTATATATATATATATAAACAACAGCATCTTTGTTATTTGATGATACCCTTTCTTGGGTATCATCTTTGTACCCTTTCTTGGGTATCTGAATGACAGTGGGTTGATACTTTGATTTTTTACTCACTCATAAACAGACATTTCTTCTTTTCTAAAGCAACTTTTTGAAAACAGTATGCAATTACACAATGGAAATAAGCTAATCTACATAAGGAACAGATACAATGTCATTATTTTATTTTAGACATTAAGTTAGAAGACATCCTCCACCCAGATAAAAGACCTTTTTCATTATATATTGATCTGAATTCCATGCAAACAGTTGACATACTGCATATTATTAATAGTGTATTTCTAATTACTTCTTTCTTAAAGATGAAAAATGATCTGTAAGGATTTTTCAAATTTCAAGTAAATAAAATACCATGTTCTTCTGCAAGAGCATTTATAACTAAAAACGTAATTATTAAAAACCCAAGTTTTCATATGTTAAGATAGAGAAAATATTCATTCATGAGTATTTACAATCACCCATGTTTAAAAGCATTGCTGAGTTCTGTGTGATTCGATTTAAGTTTTTATGAAGAAGTCTACACTCTTCCCCTTACACTTCTGCTTCTAGACATTTTACTGTGACCTCAGGCTTGGTTTTAGAATCTTCTATGTTTTTTCCATTATTCTTTGTTTCCTTCTTAGGTGTTTTGTCATTTGACTTAGCCTCTCTGACAGCAGTAGTTTCAACCAATTCTTTTTGCTGGTTCTTGTTTGAAAATGGGAAGGTTTTCTTGTACCTTTAAACAGAAAAAAAGGATAGTTAAGCAGGTACACTGACATAGTTTGGTAGCATCATTTGAGAAATAAAGTGAAAAATACCTAGAATTAACTTTCTTTGCCGTACACAAGCAAAAATCTCACAGGGAGTAGTGCCATGTCAGATCATTGTGTGTTTGCAAGCACTGTGCTTTTAGAATAAAATATTTTATGGGGTTAGTTTGTTTGTTTGTTTTTTAAACAGACAAGGTATATTAAGGATTCATGGGACATAACAATAAAGCTATCTGGGCTAGGATGTGATAAATACACACTACTTTTTGATATGATTTAATGATGCACTGTGTTGAAGATCTTTATGCATGACAAATGAGCTCAATAATTATTTTCTTCTGACCACAATCATGGTCCAAGAATAAAAACCTTAAGTCTGATATAGAAAGTAACATGAATAGAAGTGCATAAATAGCCTTATATACAAACAGACTCACATTTCTGAGTTGCTATCTTGGCACATTTGGGAATGTTTCACCCTAGGCATGACTGACTAATGAAAAATAGGTAGTACTTGTCCTTGGTCCCTTTTCTAAAGCAGGGAATGGCAACAACATCAACAGGGGTTAAGATTTTGTTCTTTGTGCTGCACTGTTGTGTCATTATCATTACTTCTCTGCTTTTTAGCTATATATTTAAAATACTCACTGGCGATACTCTAAAAGTTAACTCAGTCCAAGAGAAAAAAAAAAAAATGAAAAAACTTACTTTTTGATATAGCAGACTGCTAAAACAACTGAAATAATAAAGAAGATGACTGCCAGTACAAGAAGTGCAGTGGGGATACCTAGAGACAGAATTGAGGTAAGCACAGAGTTTTTATATGTTAATTTAATTCTGACTTTCTAAATGCTCATGAGCATAAATGATAGGTTCTTCTAAAAGCAGCCTAGTATAAGGGGTATATACACATCAATCAAGAATAGAGATGATAGGAATCTCTAAAGGTTAGTTACTCCTGCTCATTTTTTCAAGAGAGATTATAACAGGTATTGAGGCAATCCCTGACAGATGTTTGTTTAGTTTGCTCATCGGAGGGTTTCTACAGCCTCACTAGGGAACATATTTTTGTGATTAACTATCCTTACAGTAAGAATGCTTTTCCTCATAGTTAGCCTGTTTCTCAGTGCTGTATATTTGGATTACTTATTCACACCTCGTATCTTGATCACACCTTCATATTTGGAGAACAACAGTTCCCCTTAAAACTTTCTTGGCTCCTTTTCTTTTTAAGAGCCTGCTGAGTTTTCCATTACTCTGAATGCACAATTTTTTTGTATTTGCTGATTTTCTCAGAAATGTATTTAACCCAAATCACAAATACCAGAATGAACATACACAATTTTATATTAAAACATTACCAAAAAGTATAGAGTAAAATATTGCTTCTACTTTAAAAGAATTTTAAAATCTTCTGCCTTATAAACTTTGCTTTTGCAAAACCATAACATTCCTGTTCTGCCTCCAGGTTCAGCTATATCAAAATGTGTGCTAGAATAGCAAACAAAATTAGCAGTACACAGTTTTACTGCTATATACATAACTAGATCTGATTAAACAGCTACCATAGCCTTTACCTCCAAAGACAATAGCATCATTCTTAAAGGCAGCATGGGAAGTGTAGTTAGGAGAGTCCATCGGTGAGTATTCCTCTGGCATTGTTGTAGTCGTGCCCTCTGTTGGCAGTATAGTTTCAGTTATACATATTACACGAAATTTTACATTTTTCCGGGATTGTTCTGACTCAGTCACACTGGGCACTGTTGTGGTGTTCTCAGTCAAATCAGAGTCTGAATGTGCAGTTAGGTCAGTTGGTGCACTTGACGAAGGTAGTATGGTTGTAGGTGGATCTGGTTTACATGAATTAATCTGAACATCTGCAGCAGGGAAAGGAAATATGTAAAAGCTGTGTTGGATATCAGTTTTGTAATTACTGTACACACATTTACTGAAATTGTTCTTCAGTCATTCCCTTCTGAAAATTATTTGTTTACTCACAAAAGCCTTACCCAAATCAAGCATGCCTATTTCAAACACACAGCTACACCCCAGATTATGCACCTTTTGTCATACCTCATGTATGATAAAATATATCAAACACTATTTGAGCAAATGTAGTGCTCATTTTATAATTGCATACCAATGACAACATTCCTCCTGAAAAGTAACCAGATTACAACATAAATAACAGGGAAACAACATATGTATTGTTCTCCTAATGAATCCCCATGGGAAGGCTGATGATGCAGTTACATTCACAGAATAAAAGCTAAATGGCAGAGACTTTTTACTTTTTACACTACAGTTTTTAAGGGATTCTGACATTTCTTTGGCACAAAGAAAATTGTCAGAATGAACTTCTACAAAATATTTTTGGTAGAAAATGCCTAGAACAAGCAAGAGCTTGGCAATTGAGATAAAGGAATGCAGAATCATCCCAATGTTACATTATTTTCTAACCCTTCAGCAATCATAACTTCCTTCACATACTGTAACAGTATGGTGTTTTTTAATTAAAGCTAAACAAAGCATTACCCAACCTATGACACACTACCAACCCAATGACACATTTCATGCACTGAAACACTGTGTTGCACAGGAGTGGAAAAAATAAGAGTACCAATAGGAATAGCTTCTTCTAGATCATGTTGCCATAGTACTTATTCACCTATGTATTCATCAATAAAAGCTATGAACTGTAATGAAAAGCTAAGTTAGCCCAATTGTGCCATTTTTAACTTTACTGCTTAGGCGATAAGTCAGTTTTGAATGGTGCTTTCTCTCTGCAGTGCTTTCTAATGCAGAACTACTGATATTACCTACCCTCGTTCACTAAAATGGCCTAGGATCATAAACAAAGTCACGGCCTTCTCCCTAACAGCTTTATCCTCAGTCTTTTTGTAAGCTCCAATGTCCACAGTCATTGGACTGGCCTTAGGTCTTTATAGCTTTGCATGGGCATATCTTGCATATCCATCTTTCTACCACTCCTTCCAACCCTTGTTCACCTATTTCCTGAAACATTTCAGGATTTTTGTACGTAATCTCTTGCTCTCGTCATCTATCACATTGGCAAAGACTAAGGACTGATTAGAAATAATTTATTTATCCTGTACATGCTCTAATTATTGGGATAGTTGTTACATAGTAACCATAGATATGGGACACTAGCAGGAACACAAGTCCTCTAGTTAAATACTTATGTTTAGTTAATACCACAGAAGTCATTAAGAAATTATACTGATCTATTGTGCTGAGAAGATCTAACTTCTATCAAGGCCCAAGTTCCACTGTTGTATCCTCAGTCTGGGAATAGTCAATCAAGAATGAGGGTAATTTTATGGTCTTTCAGCTGTTCTACCTTATATTTTAATTTAGCTTAATGGATACATTTCTTTTTATCAAAAAACTTTCAACTCTTCTTGAAGTACCCCACTCTCGGTCTTTTTGCAAGAAAACACCCACTCCACACAGACAGCCTGGTTTAAAGACTTGATACACTGTCTTTCAAACTAATGTGCATAAATAATAAAACCATATTAAGAGCATTGTGATGACATTACAGAATGCTAAAAGCAACTCTTCTTCAAAAGCTTTCATGGCAGCACCAAATTATTAATTCAGATTAACTAAACTGACCTCTTGTATTTCTTTGAAACTTTTTTCACCTACATAGCTAAGTACAGCTTGACAACATTTAAGATGGGGGAAAGGGCCAAAAAATTATAAGAACTTACTCGCATATGACATTTTTTCATGCAGATATTAAAAAAATTAATAAAACCAAAACACAACAAATGTAGTTGTCATACTTACATACCTGAGGAATTGAAGCAGTAAGCCTTAAATGTTTTAAAGGTTTCAGCGTGCCATAGCACTAGTCCAACATTGCCCTTACCACATTTCACATTGGATGTTATCCGAGGAATGACAACAAATCCATCTTTCACCCATCCATAGCTACAATAAAAAGCGTCAGTCCTTTTAATATTAAATTTATCACCAGCCTCAGATGTGTAAAGGGGTTCAAGTAAAGGTAATGAGACATTAACTGATGTCATATACCTGCATGTTTCAAAGCCATATTTCAAAGCTTTTTCAACTTGGTCTTTACTTGCTAATTGTAGGTGCAGTCGATCACATGCATTACTTGCTTCTGAGAAATTCACTTTCTTCTCAAAATAAATTCCTACACCTGTGATTCTGCAAGGTGAAAGAACAGAACCTGTAATTTAGACATAAATACTCAAGGTTAGTATTTGAATATTAACATTTTTTCCTCATGAAGAATTTAAGATCACATTCAACTGAATTGTATATTTAAAGTTTCTAGCTTAAGGACAGTAGAAAACCGATTTCTAGCAGAAAGACATACTTCAAAAATATAACATTTTTTCTTAACACAATAGTCTAGAATTTCAAGAGGTTTGGCTGTTATTGGACTAAATGAACATACAATTTGCATTTGAGTCATTACCCGGAGTCAGTTTCTTAGTAAAGACATTTCAGTGTTTTGCAGCAAACATTTCAGATAACCAGCAGCCACAGGCATTACTTCCTTGCTCAATATGCTTTTCAGACTGCACTCATCAGGTACAAATACTTAATAAAACAGAATACAGGCAATCAGATCCACCACATGACTTCTTAGCAACAGAGGTTAAATTGAATCTTATTGAATTAAAAGATAGAACTAGCAGCCAAGCCATTTCTGTGATGAGAAGGGGCTAAAAAGATAACTAAGCTTGTGTGGAGCACTAAAAGAAAGGCAGACTTTTCACTTCTGCTGCCAGCTGAGTGTGCTAGGGTTGGAAATGGCTTCTAGTAAAAGATGCGTCTCTGCTGTCCTCAAATTTAGTTTAATTTGACTTAAATGATTGGTAGAAAAATAATTGAAATAGGTGGATTTATCTCAGCAGCAATGGAGGCTGTGGCCTCCCATTATCACTTCCTGGTATGATGCAGACCCCATCACAAGGCAAGTGAACCACTGAACATCTGAGCAGTCCCCATAGCCAAATCGTGGCTGCATCCAGCCCTGGCTTGAACATAAGACAATCCCAAGTATATTGCATGAGGATGCAAAGCAGTCCTGTTGCTCAGTGAAGACGTATGTGTACATATAAAGGGCCTCAAGCCTATTCAAGTATACCTAGCGTGAAGATGATTCACACTGACAAATTTCTTCCTTCCAGCAAGCCAGTCTTCTTGAACATCCTCTTGTATGTCTTAATTTCAGCCAAAGTACTTCTGTGTCAGAGAGGTCAAACACTGGAACAGGCTTCCTAGAGAGGTGGTGGATGCCCCAGGCCTGTCAGTGTTTGAGAGGCATTTGGAGAATGCCGTTAACAACATACTTTAACTTTTGGTCAGCCCTAAGTTGACCAGGCAGTTGCATTAGGTGATCATTGTAGGTCCCTTCCAGCTGAATAGTCTGGTCTAGTTTAGGTGTTCCAGTGTTTTCTTGATTCCCTTTTGCTAACAGTCAATTTCCCCCAGTCCTCCTGAGAGCTCTTTTTTGTTTCCTGAGTAACTAACTCCTCATCTCAGCTGCTGAGGCACAGCACACATTTCCTCCTTAGTTTTCAAGATCTCACTTCTCTAGGGTTTATGCCTAATTCCTTTCCCTCCTTACTACTTTTTATGCTCAGACCTCAGTCTTGGTCTTATTGCTTACTTAGTCAATTATTTCTATCTGCAATTTTGAGCTAACAAAACATAAAAAATATAATGTTCAGAATGAAAGTTTCTCAATGACCAACTTTACAAATTTCAAATAAAGCTGAGCAGCTGACTGAATTCAATTTCCTGAAACCTTAGAAAATTGTCTAGATACTTGTAAACTGTTACAAACTTTAGTTACTCAATTACAGGACAAGTATTTATCCATGAGAATAGCATTACAGATACCTAGCATGATATTTAAAAATTGGTACCAGAAAATGGAGTCTTAAGTTATGAGAAAAGTGACAGTAGGACCTGGACTAATGTCATACCTTAGAATTCACTAATCCTTTTAAAACAAAATGGTGAAGTAAAAAAAAAAATGTTTTGGAAAAGTTATCATCTTCAATCTAAATTCCAAATGGTTTTGAAATGAGGAAGAAATCCAGAAAAAGAACAGTAGCCTCTTCAAGTCTTTTTGTCACTTCTTATATCACCTCTGAACTCTGTTCTAAAGATGATTGAGTTTGTACAGGAGACAGACTAATCCTTTAGAAGCATATCCTTTTTGGTCTACAAGTTGCACATAGCTGTACCTTAACCTTTGCTCTATTTAGTTGGCTTACTAATAAAGGGACATTCTCCTCAGTATTTGGGTCTTGTGTGACAATCTGTTTTACTGAGAAAGGCAGGAAGACCAAGACAGAAGAATACCACAACAAGACAAAGTTGTCATAGGAAAGGAAAAAAAAAAGGTTCAATTTTTGTAAGTTATGGTTATTTGCTTTATTGTGCATTAGTTCTCTTCTTACTTTTTAACTTACTTCTCACATAATAATGTTTGAGAGAGTTATCTAAAAACTATGTGATAAAGTTGATGTTGACAATACCCTATGTTAACTTTTTCAAACAGAGACTTTATACAAAATAAAAACTTTTGCACTGTATTAACTGGAGGTAGGCACGACTGCCCTGGAGATGAACTGAGAGATCCCTGCTGCACATGTCCTCTGATGCTGCAAATCAAGACAGTGTCAGGATACTACCAGTTCAGAGCAAACCACTTTGCATTAAAGAGCATTTTTTTCATAGATACAGAATTGATTTCATGCATGTTTTGCTCTCCAAAGATTGTACAAAACTTTTTGCTGTGGTATTTTAAATAATACAAACTAAAATCACACTTCAGTAGAGCTGAACTTAATTCTAAGTGCAATACCAGACCTTTAAAACAAGCAGTTCTGTAGCATTTAGAGAGTAATCATACAGCATTTAGACAGTAATTACACTAACAATGAAAGTTCCCCTATATACTAGAGCCCGATTTTTTTTTGCAAATCTAGTTCCTTTTTCCAAGTACTGTTCAACTAGGAGACAAAAAGTGGAACTTTACATACCTGTTATAAAGTAATTTTGAGCCATGAATGTTAAACCCCAGATGAAAAACACTGCTGAGGTAACTCCAAAATAAGTTGCCATTGTCACCAACGTAGAAAATGAAGAAATTCAAGGTGATTTATCTCCTGTGCTAAGAAAAGTTAAGGTATTGGATACTGTCAGACCTCCTTTGAGATGTCTTCTTGAAAGCAACTTCAGCTGTCACTGCTCTACTTCATAGAAGGATGTCGGAGCAAATGTGTTGACTGTTCCACTCAAAGGTGAGGTCACTGCCTGGAAATCCCTAATAACCCTTTACACTTTCTTTCATGTAGGGCCCACTGGAAAATGTAACTACTGCTGACTCAGAAAACACAGCTGAGGAAGGGAGATAAGACTGTTATACTGCTAAGTCAGTAAACACTTTGAAACAAGTTTTCTTTTGTTATTTTTTCTTGTTTTTATTTATAATAAAATACTTTATTTTATTTATGAATTTATTATTCATTTTTATTATCAGCTCATTACTTATATTGCTTATTCATCTGGTAAATAAAATGAAATTTCTACTGTATCACAGCATGCCAGGTAGGGTTCTTCTGTTTCAATTGGAAAGGCATCCATTCTCCACTATTGCATTTGTCTTGATGTAGTACTTCTGCCTTCCTTTGCCTTCAAATACAAAAATAGGTAACATAATACAGAGATAATGTAATACCTAGTTCTGAACTGATCTGGAGATACACTACTGACATGTGGTTCCTTGTGAGACTGTAGGGACAGAGATGGGAGCCAGTCCCATCCATTGCTTCCTTGTATGAAGTTACAAACAGTGATTCCAACAGGCTGATTCAAAACACAGATGATCCTTACAGCTATAACTTATCCAGGAAGTCTTAGCAAAGAAATTATTTCTTGCAGAGATTTCAACAAATGCAGAGGAGGAATGGAGTTCAAGATATCAGCTAGTTCCCTTCAATGTCAGTAGGATCAACTGTATTTATGCTATTCCTGACAGATGTTTGTCTAACCTGTTCTTAAAGACTTCCAGTGACAAACTACTAGCATTTCCTCAAATGCTCTATTCCAGTGCTTTAACATCCTTTACTGTTAAAAGGTATTTCCTAGTCTAAACTGATTGACTTAAGACCATGGTGCAAATTTGTAACTTCTTTTCCTGGTGGAAATGGACATGGAAAATAGTTTATTCCCTTATGGTATGCAACAACTTTACATATTTAAAGAGTTACACCTCTGCTCCCACTTTTCTTTCAGCTAAGAAAACCCAGCTTGCTCGCGCTTCTCTAGCTGAGGCACTGCCAATGCCAGGTACTGATCAATAGATTACCTGCTTATACAGTTCAGAATGGTATGAGCCTTTTTTCACAAGAGGATGATTTTGTTATACCATGTTCAGTTTGTGATTCAGTAGACTTTTAAAAGTCCTATATCCTCAGGCTGTTTTCAAGGTCCCGTAAACACAAGTGTAACAGTAGCTACCTCTTTAAACTATGGTTTGCTTTGCAGGAAGTTCCCACTTAACATATTAAGATTAACTTTTATCTGGGTTCAGGCCCAGTCTCTTACAGCAGCATATAACATGCTTATGGGTATACCATAGACAGGCATACACAGGGCTGAATGGAGAATGCTGTGGGTTCGTGAAATGATGTCTCCATTAGCACTAAAAACTAAGAACTGTGAGTTCTTTGTGTTGAACTCACCTGTCTCTACAAAGTGATGGCAATCTGAAATACTGTAATCAGACTTACTCGCACTGCAGGAAGTTCTAAGTCAATTCACTTGCATTTGCAATGTAGGAGCAGAAACTAACAGTTATTCTGTAGCTCTCATGGACTAGTAGATTGTGTCTGTAAAACACTGAGAACATTAAACAAAACCTTACCATCTCTGTGCTTACCTTTAACTGCTAAGTACTCCCTACAATGAAAACTAATCAAAAGCTGGGCTTCCGACATTCTAAAATTGTACATTATTTTTCCTTCCAAGTTTTAATGCTTTGTGCCTATTATCCTGTGACAAAGTTTCTTTAGTCACACTCTGTCCATGCTATTGATGGTTAGTAGGATTTTTAGCTGGAAAAATGAGATAAACATCTCTGTAACACCAAACAAAAATATAAGTTCCTTCACATGGTTTTAGAAGAGCAAACTACAGATTAGGAAAGGGGGAAAATTTTAGTGAAGAGAGACTGAAATAATAGTTCCTCCATTTTTGTATTTCAGTTGTTCCAAGACTACATGGAAGATCACTTACCTGGACTGTATCAGTACAAAAGTTCTTTAGGCTGTTTATGGGTCTTCATCATAATTTATGAGGTGAAAAAATGCAGCCTTATTACAAATGTTTAATTAGCATTTGACCTAAATACTTGTAGTGACCTATAAGGAAAATTCCCAGCGTCTCATGCAAGCATGTTTTAAAATGCTGATGAGGATTGCTGAATACAAAACCTCTGATATGGAAGAACAGACAACTGTTCTCTATAATAATTTTTAAAGGAACCCTGAAGCCTGAACAACAGGACAGGAAACAAGTTTAAAAACCAAAGTTCTTTATGTGGAAAATACAAATATCAGGATCTTTTCCTGGTAACAGCAATTCTTTTCAAGGTTGTTGCTGTCACAGAGCTTTTCTCCCTGACACAGACCATGAGAAATTCATCAATATTTCTGTTTTGTGGAAACTGAGCCTTGTCTTCTTCTACATCAATTTCCTGAAGGACTGAAAGACTAAGAAGAAGATCTTTGGTATGTGTAACATGGCACTATGTTATGCAGCATAGACATGGCAGTATATATTTCACAAGAACATAACCATTAATGTGTAGATAGAGTGCAAGTAAAAACCAAACCTTTAAGGTAGCAACATTCAGGATTTTGAAACCATACTTTTATTTCAAAACTCAAGTATGTGATACTATACAGTACAATACCAGCACACTTGTGCAAAAATCTTACAATATTACAAATTTAAATATAATAGACAAAAATAGTGCCCTTTTGAAATTTCTTTTACTCGAAACATCTGTGCTGTGCAGGAAAAACAATAAACGTGTCTTGTTAAAGCAGAAAAAACACTGCACTTCAAGAAAACTATTTCAGTGTTCATAGCATAAATAATAGATCTATTTCTTGTTATCTGATGTGATCTTTGAACACAAAAGACGTTGGATTTTTTTTCCAGATAAAACAAACTAATATCCAACAAGTAAAATTACATTTAGAATATTTTTGAGCTCAATCTAGTTTCCTATTAAAGAAAGGTGTCTTCATTAACTAACTGAAAAATATAAATAAAAATATTTAATGTGCTATTAGTCATTGTGGTTCATTATTTTTTAGTGGACAGTTTGCTCAAAGTCATTATAAAAAGAACAACTTTTTTTCAGTAAACTTTATCTTCATCTTTTCATTCCCATTAAAATCTCTTGCCTCTTTCATTTCATTCCCCATAACATTTAATAACTTTGTAGCTAAACTATATTTGCCTTAGACATGCAGGTAGTTCAGTTTAACTCAATACAGCTACTTCTGGAAATGTGTCCTTGTGCACTAAGTCCACAAAAAGCCAGTGTGCTGAATTTCAAGACAGGATGGAGACCTCATTCACCCACTGACCAAAAAACCTTACCATGTACTTAACATCAACAGGACTCTTGAGCTCCTTAACATCAACAACTTTCTACATGTAATTAAAATAAGGTACTGGACCCACCTCAGTGCAGATGTAAATAAGAATGAATTAATTAAATTATAAGCACTGTTAATTATTTTTCCTCAGTGCAGCCCAACATTTCCAAAAGCAGATAATCAAGTATGTGGTATAATTTTTGGCATAGAGGATTCTGATTCTTCAGGACTATTTACCTTCTGTTTTTATTGCCTTAAGTTATCAATGCTATTTGCAAATAACATTATGTTAAAGAAGCTGACTTTAATAAAGAAGTATTCAAAGAAACATTCAAAGAAAACTGACAGGCTTATCCAAATACTGAAAGTACGTGAAATGTCACAGTAGTGCTCCAAAGTTGGATATTCAAACTGAACCAGATACCAAGTAATCTGCAAGAAACCTTCTGTCTTATTCTTGACCAATTACAATTTTAGACCAAATGACACTTTCCCGTTATCCTTTTTGAACTTCCTTAAGCACACTACTCCTCAAGAATATATACTTCAAAAAACCAAACCTGCCAACAGCTAATAGACCTCCCCTCCTCAAAAGTGGTAATGGTCTGCTTTTTAATTTTATTTTACTCTTCTTTCTCCATATAAATATCTTAAGAAACATGTGGCTAAAGACATAATAAACAGAATTCATCAGCAGGGTATTTGTTACTAGTGCCAGACATGTGAATTAAATTTCTGACTCAGAAACCTGTTTTCTTTGATAGTTAGCTTGCGGTTCAGTGTTTACACCAAAACAAAACAAGACAACACTAATTGCATCTGAAATGAAATTACAGTACTTCTTACCATACTTATCCTTCAGTTGGTAAACAGACCTGTTAATCAGTCAGAAAATGCCAGAAGAATGAAACACACAAGTGCAATCAAGTGTCACACTGATTTTGATATAGTGGTTAGACTGAAGCATATAGCTATGGAAAGAAACATACTTCATCTTCAATCAGAAGTGATGTTCAAATATGGTACATCTTAAGTGACGTGCATTTTGGTCTCAGCCCTAAGTGGTGTTTTTCTTTTTACTTCACCATTTTGAAATTGCTTGTCTAAAAATTTTAGGCTTTCACATTCTTGTGCAAGGGCTCACAACTCTCAGATAGGCAGAACTGTTGAAAAATCTGGGCAAAGATCATCTATCATGACCTGATAGCTTCACTTTGAAAATATATAAAAAGTTACATATGTGGCATCAAATTCTGCAAATGAACTACTAAACATGCAGTGACCTCTTTGAAGTCCTCACTGCTTGCATGTCCTGAGTCATCTAGGCACTTGTAGGGTTTTGGCTGTATGCAGAACTGTGTCCTGAGTGCAGATCTTCAAGGGTACCTATTTCCTGTGTTAGCAGTAGGGCAGAGTCCACTTAGTGCCATCACCTCTATACAGAGGATT